CGGCGGTCGGCTTTACCGTGGCGGAGATGGAAGACATGGCGGGCGGTGCTTTGGCGGAATGGGACGGGCTGAGCAGGCGAGCGGCAATATCGGGATGGTCGAGAGCGCGGCCCGCTTCTTCGTGTCTTTCCTCAGAATCAGAACGCTGTTGTGGAGTGTTCTCGTCGTCGTCGTCTTGATCGTCGTCGTCGGATAGGTGGTCTTCGCCGAAACTCTTGCTGGTTGACTCTGGAAGACTGGTTGCTCGAGGGAATTGTGGGTAGGAGCGTTTGACGAAAGTAAGGGGGTCCACCAGCACGGCAGGATTCTCCACACTCTCCTTCGACTGTGCGACCGAGCTGCGCCGGGTACTTTCAGGTGACTGAGTGGTATCTTCCCAGTCAGCGTCGTCGTTGTCGGAATCTGCCAGCTCAAAGCCCACGGTCTTCTTCTTTCCGGAGCTCGAGTGAGGGCGGTCGGTAACCAGAGCTTTCTTCCCCAAAACACCCGAGGTATTGCGTCGGAGAGCTGGACTCGAGTAATTCTTTTTCATCGAACCGGTGCTGCGGTGTGGTTCGTCCAACACCCCATCCCAGCGGACGTGATGCCCCCGGGGGCTTGCAGCGGGTGTTGCGGGTGCGGACTTCTTGCGCTGATGCACGCGAGCGGGACCTTCCGTCGTCGTCGTAGTAGTACCGATCTGGTGGGAGGACTGGTGTCTTTGTAGCTTATTCAGGTTCTTTCCGAAGGAAGGATTGCGGTGATGATTGCGATGACCACCGCCGACCAAATGGGGGCGATGAGGGCGATGAGGAAGCTTCTGAGGGTTTGAGGAGTGAGAGTGCGAGAGCTCGCCTTGGGTGATGGTGGTAGTTGAAGAGGAGGAGCGCGTGACGACCGCGTGAGAGGAAACAGCGCGGCGGCCCAGCCCCGGGCGCTTAACTGGGGAGGAAGTGTTGGAGGTCGGCATGGCGGGAATAAGAAATCACAGGCAAGGCGAGTAATACCAAAAAAGCAAGGGCGCCCCGATTGAGAGGGGAAAGGGCACACCGGCGAGAGAGGAGAGAGGGGGGGTAATCAGCGCCGGATCGGGCGAGGAGCAGCACGTCGGAGGAATAGCGATCAAAGCGATTGGTAGGACTTTCTGCAGTATTAGAGGACCAGCCCAGGTCAAGCAGTATAAGTAAGTAACTTAGTAGTCACTGGGTCTTACAACAGCAGGATCCAGAAAGAGAGCTGCAGATAATTAAGAAGGGAAAAAGCAAAGAGCGATTGTCTTTCCAGCAGAGATGCGAGGATGCTGGGAAAAGCGTGGGGGAAGAAGCAATTGGTGGCTGACGCGAGATGCGTTACACCAGTAAAAGTAACGTAGTAGTTCCGGGAACAAGGAAGCTGAAGAAAAGACGGAGATGTGGAGGGGAGGGAGTTTCGGGTAAAATCACAAAGAGGGAGAGAGAAGTGTAAGTTAGGGGAGATCGTGAGGGAGAAAGGAGAGAGAGAGGTAGTGGATGTAGACTATGTATATAAATAAAAGTATGGATGGAAACGAGCAAAGGAAAGACACAACTGGCAAGTAGTAGTCAGTCTATGGCATTGAGGAGTAGAGGCAGTAGACAATCAATTTCCCCCCAGATCGAGGGAGAAGGAAGAGGGAAAGATGATGGAAGATTGAAGATTGAAGATCGAAGATGGAATCCGGAATGGAAAACGAATGAATGACTGAATAATACTTACCTTTCCCCGTTCCCGTTTCCATACCGAGTCCAGACCGAGTATCCATTATTGCTGTATTTTTCCATTTCCATTTGCCACTGAGACCGGCGATCGCCAGCAATTTACTCCACGAGGCATTTCCCCATCCCATCTATCTCTTTTGGGTTCTTATCTTTCTTCCATTGAATCTTCCGGATAATTCTCCCTACATGATATACGTACTTTTACCACCTCTACACCTAATGTTACACTAATGGACTCCGTAGTAGTCTTCCATCCACAGGATTTGTGACATCTGTACATACAATTTCGTGGCTTGCAAACAACCAATGTTTTGGTATCACGGTGACAAAAGACTAGACAGCATAAGCAACAAAAACAAGCATTGGAATGCGCCCCTCCCCCCCTCATCTCCACACCCCCCGCTGCATACCCCTTGCTTCTACAGCTCAATCAGACTTTCTTCTACCGGTGGCCGAGACGGCGTGGGCTGTTGATACGGTGCATGAGCCGGGGTCACACCCACAGGAGAGACGTCCCCCACGGCTTGGCTAGGATGTACCGGCGCCCCTTGAGGGTATGCCGGGTAGGGGTTTCCCTGAGGAGGCTGCGGGGCATAAAATAATGCAGCAGACGGGTCCGTTGGCTGCCGCTGAAGCCCGTAGCCTGGAGCCGGTGTTTGGTCGGCCGGGAGATCTGGGGCTGACGGTGCCGACGGTTGATACAGTGTCTCCCGTTGCATCACCGGTGAGCCCTGATAAGGCATGTCTGGCTCCATTGGTCGGGCGTGCTGCGCCGGTTTGACATCGGGTTCCACGTGTGGTGGAGAGGTGTAGAACTGCGTCTGACCGGCCGGCCCCGCATAAGCCGAAGGGTTGCTGGGGTAAGCCATACTGGCGCTCGAAGGTTGTGGAGAGGCAACAGCATGAGCACTGCCGTTCCAGGGTACGCTGGGTGAGATGGGTTGTGAGGGATGCGCGTAGACACTAGGGCTCATGGTACCACTACGTGTCCCAACTCTCTCATGCAGCTCCTTTTCGGGTTGAGGCTGCGGGTAAGGCGCTGTCGGAGTTTGGTGACTCTCGGCGATCGGATTTCCATAGTAGAAGCTTTCGGTTCCAGTCTTCCCATCAGGCGCATGGGCGGGCATGGGCGGGTAGATGTTGGGGTATGGCGATCCGCCGGGGACCGGGCTGTACCCTATAGAATGTTGTGCGTAAGCGCTGGATAGACGTTCCTCAAGCATGCGATCATAGTATCGGACAACCGTCGAGAGTTTGGCGTGTAGGTCAAGAAGAGTGTCTGTATCTCATGTGTTAGCCATCATGACTCTTTCACCCAGTAATGAATGAAAACCATGGTAATGACTTACCATGTTTGCTCATGGTCTCCCCATAGCTCCGTGCCAATTTGGGGCGGAGCGCGCCAATACTTTCGTAGAGTTCCTGGATCTGAGGTTCGCGGAGTATAGTGCCCGGAGGCTGGTGTTGTAGTCGGTCGACCAGAGCGGCGAAAAGATGAATGTTTTCTACCTCGACTGGGCTGAGTTCGTAGGAGTTCTTTGGCAACGGGGTTGCACTTGGTGTCTGGTGGGACGGTGTGTCTGCAGACGATGTGTTCTTCAAGGCGGCCGCATGCTTCTGCTTGTGCTCCTCCATGTCACGCAGAGACGCTTCGATAGCAGCCTTCAGATCCGCATCCTCCTCCTCTTCTATGGCAGGTTGAGCAGGTGCTCTGGGTGGCTGATGGACCGTACTTTGTGGAACATAACCACTTGAGCCTTTGTTTTGCGCCTCCTCTAAACTCATCTGTAGCGCCCGGCGCAGATCATCATCGAACCCCCCTTCAGCTCTACCGCCCCGAGGCTCCATCACACTGGATTTGGTTATAGAGTTGTTCTTGAATGATGCTCGGTCTGAAAGGCCGCTGGGCGCAAGGGCTTTGGAAGTCAACTTGGCATAACAGCCGTCGTCCACTCGAACAGGTTGCAGGATTCCGAGATGAGGTAGGGGGAGGGTTTTGCTGGAACATTGCGCATCGAAGACACTTCCGCAGTTGCGACAGTGGTGTTTGCGGTTCATGAAGCTGAAGGGAGTACGGCAGCGCATGCAGACATCGGAGTCGATCCACTCAGGAGGCTTGCGCAATTCGAATGTTAGCACCAGGAAGGGAAAGGTACTGCAGCATAAGCAACTCACCGCACTGCTTTCCAGCATGCTTCCGCTAATTTGGGTCTTGGGGGGAAATCGGAAGCCTTCGTCTTGCAACCTCCGGTATGTTTCGCCGACGTAGCTCAGGTCCATACGGCCCTGGGCTGCCATAGCCCAGTCCTGAATCAATTCTAACATTTTGGCCTTCACGTCGGAATTTAGCGGAGCGCCCTCGGTCTTGAGAAGCGAAACAAGATTGTCCATGAACTCGCGCGACGCAATCTCCGCCAAGAAGTGAGTACCGCCATTCTTCACGCATGTGTCTGTTAACTACATGGTGAACCACCCGTCAGCATGGAATTATCGTTGCAACGAAATCGGGTAGCCAACCTTCAATGTCGCCAGCTGTATGTTTGGATTTTTGTTTTCTAACCGGCGTTTCAAGCATCTCATAGCATCTTTGGGCTGGACACCCTTCGATCGGATAAGGTCGGAGATCTCTAAGTTGAGCGCAATGTCCTCTCTGCGCCAATTGTTAGAAGTCAGTTGGTGGTTGACTGGATGGGGGCCGTTCACAGGCCGATCACCGTCAAAATGTGACATGGGAAGAGAAGGAGACATACAGGGAAGATGCGGTGGCCTTCTCCACCTGATCCTCGATCGGTGACGTTGAAGAGAACCACCCCGCCATGTTGACAGTGCGCAATGGATGATAATCTGACGATGGCGGAGCCCAGGATCGCTATGACGTTGGGTAGCAGCGACAAGGGGAAGGGAGGGGCTGCTGGGTACAGTCCTAGTCGGTAGAGTAGATGGAGAGGTGAAATTAAAGAGATGACCAGAACACGACCCGGGTTGCTTCAGGAACAGACCAGAGTTGGAAAGTCAAGGGCGAAAGAAGGGGAGTCGACAGCAAGCTCCAGGCAGATCGAAGCGATAACAGTAACGAGCAATGATGGCGGGAGGTACCATCTTACCTAATGCAGTAGGCAACAATGTGGCCCCGCCATTGGTCGGGCATCATGAGTCAGCGTGCGGCCCCAGGCAGCCAGGGTCAAGCAGTGGCGTCATAGGCCCGGGCGGTGAGTAACACCACCATGACGATACCGGCGCATTACATACCGACTTACCCCAGATACAATCATCCCAATTCATCCAGTTCCATCCCGCAACGTTGGCTGCCTATCTGGCCTGGCAGTTGTCCGATTCTCTCCTCGTTGAGGTCCTGCGCTCTCTCTTTCTTGCATGTTTCTGCCAACTCTCTCTGCTCGGGCCTGTCTGTCATTGCGGTCGCAATCGGTCTTTTCCTCTCCGACTTCCCCGTTATCCTTCCAGCCAGTCCCCTTCGATTTCCGAACCCGAGTTTGACCAGATTGCCCCTCGCCGCGTGTCCTACGAAGCCGTCCTCCAGGTCATGTGCTGGGATTCGGCTTTCCTCGCTGTGATATAATGTCCCCAGATGCAGCGGCCCTACCCTCTCCTCCAGACTTTGCACCGTGGGATAACGCTCCCCGCCGCCCTCAGTCCCTCGGTGGTATGCAGCCGGGCGGGAAGTCAATCGCCGCCGAACTAGGATCGTATCAGGCCAACAACAGTTATGCGTCCCCCGCCGGGTCTCAACCGGCTCGATTCCCCAATATCAAGGATCTTCAAGATGAAGCAGCAGCGCTTGATCTAAACGACAATACATCGGTTGGTTCCCGTTCCCTATGCGCTTAACGAGTGACGTTGCGGATGACTGACCCGCTTTCCGTACAGCTAAGCGTTCTGCTGGAGCGAGCGCAAGTGGCCATAGATCGAGCCCGTGAGCTTGCCGACACCGACCAACTGGATCGGGCTTATGTGCATTACCTGCGAGCGTCGGAGATCACAATAAATTTAATACCTAATCACCCTGACTACCGAGCCACTGCCAGCCAACGTCCAGGATGGTACAAACGATTCGGGGAGTTGATGATGGTATGCCGTGGCTTCCCAAAGCACATCCAGTGCTGTGACAAGTCGTGATGTCTAATATTCGTACAATGGTGGCTAATCTGATGGTGACAGGCTGTGCGGATGAAGCAAGGGACAATGGATGATATCAAACAACAAATACTGGAGAACAATTTGCTGAGCAACGTGCAGCCTGGTGGGGTGTCTCGGTCGAACCCTCCACGACCAAGATCACAAGTGGTGTCTCCTGGACTTGGGCAGAGTCCGGGCCCAAGAGGTCGCCCTGTTGACGCTGGCAACAAATCTTTGCGGATGCCTAGCCCCACGCAATTCCAACGATCAGCCGAAGCAAATGCGAAGATGAATCGTTTTTCGAGTCCTGCTGGGGATGCACTTGCTGAGAGATTCGCAAAACTAAAAATGTCGCCGCCTACTCCATCTGATGTAGGTTCTATGTCCAATGGCCAAAACGGTACTACCTCAACACCCCCGACTCAGGATCTCCCTTCTCGACCGTCGTCCCAAATGTCTCAGGGGGTACCTCCGCGGCGGCCTCTAGGGCCCCGTAGTATGGGATCTTCCCATGATGTACCTACTATACCTCCGAAAGTGCCCCTTAATACATCTCTTCCTCGCGCTCCCGATCCAACTTATAGCCCGATCTGGACCGTGCCTTCACAGGGACCCTCAAACCCACCCAGGACCTCAATTGAAAGCTCTCGTCCGGTCAACCCACGGTATTCTCAAATTACGTCATCTTCCCGCAGTAGTCTTAGCCATGATGGCTTCGACGACAATCCTTACAGGTCGCAAACCCCGAACGGTGTACATCAGGCGAAGGAGGTTAAAAGCAGTAGTGCAGATCTCCCCCACAGCACCACAATTGAGCCCCAGAAGCTGCTGGAGTATATGCGCAAATACAACATTTTATTGATTGACGTGCGTTTCCGGGACCAGTACGATAGTGGCCACATCTATGCCTCGTCGATCCTTTGCATTGAGCCGGTGGCATTAAAGGAGAATGTGTCAGCGGAGGAGCTCGAAGAGCGCCTGGTGGTGTCGCCGGAACATGAGCAGTCATTATTCGAGCGGCGCAACGAGTATGACATGGTCGTCTATTATGACCAGGGAACGGCATCAGTCAGCTATCTAGCCGGATCCCCTGTAGGCACGACGGCTCCTCATCTTCGAGCCCTGTATGACACGCTTTACGAGTTCAACGCATATAAGCCATTGAAAGATGGACGACCTCCTGCACTACTGCTTGGCGGCCTTGACGCATGGACCGATCTAGTTGGCCAGCAGTCTCTTGCTACATCCTCCACTGCTGCTGTGATGGGATCTTTGCAAGCAAAGAGGCCGGTCAGAAGGCCAGGGCGACCGCTAGGAAGAGTGCCTACGATCGTCAGTGCCAATTCTAGCTTGGAAGTGAGGAAGAGAAGATTGCGCGAATATAAGCCACTGAATCCTCAAGAGCTCACAGAGTGGATGGAAAAGTCTAAGACGGAAGAAATCGACCCCGGGACTTATGTCGAGGAGGATGCACTCACGGAAGAACCGGAAGGTGCTGAAGAGCCACCTGTCTCTCCCTTTGTGCACACATATGAGGATTTCCTGCGGCGCTTCCCAGAACCACATGCAATCCAGCAGTCAATGGTAACGCCGCACGTTCGGCCAGCGGGGACACCGGCACCCAACTATGCTGCGCCTGTTCCTGTTGCTCCATCAAGGCCTCCGCCTGCAGTCCCACGGCCCAGTTATAGTGGCGTTTCAGACGGCCGGCAAATACAACCTACGCTGGAGCGACAAAACTCTGCCACCAAAACAGCTCTCTACACACCAAGCTCGATGCTTAACCGCCTGAAGCTCCCACGGACTGGCTTGACAAATTTTGGCGTGACCTGTTACATGAATTCCACCCTTCAGTGTTTGAACGCTACAGTGGTGTTGAGCAAGTTCTTCATCGACAATCGCTTTCGGTACTATGTACAGAAGAACTGGAAGGGCTCCCAAGGCGTTATGCCGGGACTTTTCGCGAATCTGATCCGGTCACTCTGGAAGAACGACGTGGAAGTGATCATGCCGACTTCCTTTCGGAATTTCTGCGGACGGCTGAATCAAGAATGGGCTATCGATCGCCAGCAGGATGCCAAGGAATTTTTCGACTTTGTCGTCGACTGTTTGCACGAGGACCTGAACATTAATTGGCAGCGGACGCCTCTCAGACCCTTGACATTCGAGGAGGAGATGCAGCGCGAGAGAATGCCCGTTCCCAAGGTTTCTAAAATTGAGTGGGATCGTTATTGTCATCGCGAAGAGTCATTCATTTCCTCGCTCTTTGCAGGCCAGCACGCGAGCCGGCTACGCTGCACCACCTGTAAGCGGACATCAACCACGTATGAGGCATTCTACAGCATCAGTGTCGAAATTCCACCGTCGGGCACGGGCGACATTTACCATTGTCTTCGCAGTTATTGTCAAGAGGAGATGCTGAGTGGGGATGAGGTGTGGAAATGTCCGTACTGCAAGTGCGAACGAGTGGCCACCAAACAGATTATTATCACGCGGGCACCGCAGATCTTGGTCGTCCACTTCAAGCGGTTCTCGGCGTCGAAGACCCAGACTGCACGGAAGATCCATACGCCTATCGACTTCCCTTTGCATGGACTCCGGATGGATGACTTTGTCTTCTCGGCATATAATCAGGGGCAGACCAACGGATTACCCCACGACCCGATCGCGGCCACGGTGCCTCCATTCACGTACGATGCGTACGGAGTCTTGCGGCACATCGGGTCCTCGATGGGCAGCGGGCACTACATCTCTCTGGTGCGAGATGCGCAGCGACAATGCTGGCGACGATTCGATGACGAGCGGGTTACCGATTTCAACCCGCGCGATCTGCGATCGAAAGACCGGCTGCAGAACGAACAAGCCTATATTGTCTTCTACGAGCGGGTGCCCGCCAAGTAAAGGGGCAGAGAGACGGGGTGGACGTCTTCCTTATATAACGGTCTTATTTTCTTTTCCTTTATCTTTGTTCATTCCCTCACGGTCCACCTCTGTCTGGTGGTCAGGGAACGGACTATGATGTAGCGTTGATTCCGATGTGGCATGGGTAAGAGTTGCACTGGGACGGGTGACGTCTTCTCATATACCCGGGATTTCTTTTCTTTCTGATCATATTTTTGCGATTGCAATGGGAGACGATGACACGGACTTGCATGAGGGATGAATCTGATTTCCAGCATGGAACGAACTTACTTATATCCTTTGCTATTTTGTTTCTTTATTTGCATCATCAACATTACTTATTTGAGCAAGACATGTTGACATGGAATGGGCTGGCTGGCTGGGCCATTGATTTATTTCCATCATTGATTACCTATCTTCACTTAGATTCTCTAAGCGATATGGGATGTATAGATATTTAGTTTTCAACTATTTACCGAAGATAGACAGCATTAGATACTTCTTGGCCACTATGTGATCATGATGATGAACATTCTAGAACCCCACAATAGAGCCGAACCATAGACAGCAGGCAGTTACCTATCTACTAGGTATCCACTACGGAGGACACGGAAGATAGTAAGTAGTATGGATATTCTCCCAAGGAGGAGTAACATTCCGCGCGGGAAGGAAAGGCGGGGAAAGAATGAGTGACCAACTGGGGCAGTTAATCCCGACGGCGCTACCCGACCAGATCCCCTCCCCGAGGTTACGGCTATCGAGGGATCGCAGGGTCGGGATTTACAGATACGTAGTAGATGGGCGGAATTACGGAATTCGGTTTCAGAGTATTACCTTATTGAATTTTCATGATCAATACATAGCAGATTAGTTATTATTATGTATTTACTATACCATATAGATAGAACTTGATTGTATATACTATGAATGATCTTATTCTTCAAATATTATATATAAAGAAGCAATAAAATAGCGGAAGATAAAAAGTATCACGAAATTGTAAAATACCATCTAGAAATGTGAATTTTACTGTGGGAATGGCTGTCACACCACAATAAGGTGGTGGAGGGTGGAGCAAACGGTAGGCAAGTCAGTCACCGAAAAAGGTGAACCAAATTACATTGATTTGTTGTTGTGTAACTTCTCCCCCGCGGAGGTTATTCCGAGGTTGTGATTTTCAGTGGAGCGAGATAGGCTAATCTTTTTTTCTAGAATGATTGGAAAAGGATCTATGACGACCATCAGATAATGGAGGAGGAAGAAAGAGAGAGAATATATGCAGTATAGGCAGTTACAACACATACACCAAATCAGGTAAAAAGATCCTGAACTGACCAAGACAACATCTAAAACCAATATGCAACATCTAGACAACAGCATCAATTCACTAATCCACCGGCATAATTTTTGATTATTGATCGACGGCCCGTTCTAGTCACTCTGCCCCATCGGGACTAGTGCATAAGATGAACTGACTAAGCTGGGAATAAGCCTGCTGTGATTGGCGGAGAAGAGGCCATCCCTATCAGGCCACTTTTCAGGATTGCCTGTTTGGGAACAGGTTGAGAATTGAGTGCAGTGAGTCCGATCGGAGTAGTGTACAATATGGAGTATTGGCAGTAGGCAGTAGTAGTGATAATCGGTGAAAATGTGAATACTACTAGGAAGCAGGCTGCCGGCAACCCGGTAAACTCCAGGTGGCCCGGATGGCAGCCACGGCTCCTGTTGTTTGGGATTGGAATAATGTTCCTGGAGGGCCCATCCAGTTGGAAGGCGGAGACGCTGTCGAATCACAGGCGCCAGGGGGGCTGCCTAAGGAACCGACAGTCTTTCCCATCTGCTCGGCTTCCTTCTCTCTCCTCCTCTTCCTTCTTCTCCTCTCTCTTTCTCTTTCTCTCCCTCTTTCTTTCCTTCCTCGGGTTCATCTCTAGTCTCTCTATTATATTCTCGTCTAGATCGTCTTCTGTGATCTGCCTCTTTTGAGCCTTTTGTACCTCCGTACCTTCGATCTCATTCTTGTTGAATCTTCGGTGAGTCTCCGCCCTATCGCAATTCTTCTCCCTTGCGATCTGGTGTCTTCTACATTCCGAGGTACAGACCCTCCACACAGGCTGGACTCGGGGGTGGCTTACGCTACTGGCATTGTTACTAGCGCATTGTCACTTCTCTCTATACCATATCGCATGAAGTCAAGATCCATGGACAGTATTCTGATCATGGAACTGTCCTGGGACTGTCCCCGAAATCCCCTGCTTATCACCTAAGCCCTTCCTCTGCTCTCACCGATCAATCTCCGTGGCTTTGTCAGTCGCTGACTTTCACATTCTTTATTCACACAGCTACAACACTTTACTACCACAACCATGGCCGACGCAAAGGAATTCACCTTCCAGGAGGTTAGCGCTCACAACACCAAGAAGGACCTTTACATGGTCATCCACGACAAGGTCTACGACTGCACCTCCTTCGTCGATGAGCACCCGTACGTTCATCACCGTCCTTTTTCCACATGCATATCCCTTCCTCATTGAGCCCCTCACTCCCCCTCGCCTCCAGAGGTCATGCTCTCTACCCCTCAAAAAAGCAATGAGACAAATCGCGCAAGGAAACACTCCGTCGGACCAAAGAAGATACAAATCAAGCTAACACAATCTGCCCTCAACAACAGTGGTGGTGAGGAAGTCCTCCTCGACGTCGGTGGCCAGGACGGCACCGAGGCCTTCGAAGATGTCGGACACAGTGACGAGGCCCGTGAGATCCTGGACGGTCTCCTGGTCGGCAAGCTGAAGCGCATGGTACGTCAGACGACAAAAAGCAACTCGCAAGACAATTCGTTCACTCACACTAACACAATCCCATCAGCCCGGTGACCCTGCTCCTCGCTCCCAACCCCAGTCTTCCTCCGGTCCCTCGGGCTCCAGCGACAGCGCCGGCATGGGTGTCGGTCTCTACGGCATCGTCCTGGTCGGTGGTCTGATCGCCTACTTCGCCTACCAATACCTCCAGAATGCTTCCGCCGCTGAGACGCAGTAAACGATATCCCTTTTTACTTTTTTTTTCTCATTATAATTAATAAACTTAAACAAAAAGAGATGAATCCCATATGAACTGAAAGCCTTTCCCATTTCCCCCTCTTCATTCGATCCACATTTTGGCCCCATGTTTGGAACTCGGTCTCGTTTCTTTTTTCCCTGGACCGGTCGATTTCGGCTAGTGACCTGTTGCTACTCTTTCGTCAGCATTAGGGGGCTGTTGGGTGACTCCCAATGCAGATACCCTATCCTGTTTATCATGGAATCCCCCTGTTCTCGTTTCAATTAGAGTGCAATGTCACGGTTGCTTATGCTGTGTACTTTTGCGTGATTCGGTAGTCGAGAAAGAGTTGTCATAGATTCATGATTGAATGAACTCTGAAACATAAATATGCTAGCTGTTTGGCTTTCTGGTCGATTCATTGTTGACTTCTGCATATACAATTGTTTTTACAATGACAATAAATCTACTAGCAGTATATCCAGTAATATTCTAAGCTTTTGAAAATCGGACAATTATGTAATGCATATAATAATATTTATAAGAGGAGTGAGGCCTAATCACAGGATATTCAAGGCGGATTATGCAATCCGTCAACCGCCCAGCAAATGCATGTAGTAGATGTATAACACAGTCTTCTTTTGGTGTGAGAGAGAGCACATAAGACAAAGATAGAAGGAAAGGAGATTATAAGAAAAGAAAAGATATCGTGGTCGCTCGACGATTCTCATATGTCACTCTGGATATATGTGGAATCCCCTAACGGCCTTCCCCCCCTTCATGACCGAGAGTTGCCGCTCAAACCAGCGCGGACAGCCTCCAGAATCATATCCTTGGCCTCTTCCAGGCCCTCCTTGCTTCCCTTGATCTCGATCGCTTCACCCTTGGCTTGGTCCTTGGGCACATTGATCCGGCAGCCAGTCTGCTTGCGGATCGCGTTGATCTGGCTACCACCCTGACCGACGACGAAGCGGTAGGTCTTCGGGTCAGGCAGGATGAGGTAGCCAGTAGCGGACTGCTGGGAAGCATTGGCGATAGCCTTCTCCAGGGCCGACTTGGCCTTGGCAACATTGTCGCTGGTTCCCGACAGCACCCACGGGATGGTCGCCGGTTCGGAGGGATCGACAGCGGCCGGGCTGTTGTCCACGATCTTCCATGAATGAGCCTCCACGGCTTCGCTAGGCTCATCTGTGATCAAGGGAAGAGAAGAGGAACCGTTGACTGCACCGCGGGAGTCCTCGGAGGCAGGCTTGGGAGGCACCTGCTGCCCAGCATGGTCCACGGTAACGCGGTAGTCGTTGCGCAGGCGACGGAAGAAAGAGCCATTCTCAGAAATAGCATGGTGCAGGTTCCGGGGAACTTCCACCGTCTCGCCCTGCTGATCCTTGAGCATGGACTCAATGTGCTCCTTCGCCTCCGCGACTGCGTTGCTGGGGCCCTTCAGCTTGATGTCCGAGCGTCCGGATCCCTGCTTAGGAATGTCGAGCGTGATGTTGAACTTGGACTCAATGCCGCGCCGGGTCTCACCTCCACGGCCAATGAGCAGACGATGCTGAGACGGGGGAACCTCAACAGTCGTGGTCACCTGATCCTCACGCTCCTTGACAAAGTCCTGGATCGCAGCAATGATCTTGTCAACCACCTGACCATTTCCTTCAAGTTTGATGGCCGAGTCACTGCTCTCTGGACGAGGGAACTTGACCATGCGGGAAGCACTGCCATCGGTAGGGCCACCAGCCTCGGCGACGATCTTGCGGATGTTGGCACCTGCACAACTGTTAGTTACTCATGATACCTTGGTAACAATGGGCACAGATTACTCACCACCACCACCAATGAGCGACTTGTGGTACTTCTTGTCCACGTCAATCGTCTTCGTAATGATGGAGTCGAATTCCTGCGACCGCTGCTCCAGGATCTTCTTTGCCTCCTCAACCTGCTTCTTGGTGCCTCTGATCTTGATCTGCACACGGCCCGACTCATCCGGAGCATCGTTGACTCCCGGAACATCAATCTGGGCCTCGGTGTCCGCGCGGAGCTTGTCCATCTCACGACCACGCTGGCCAATCAAGGAGGGAATTTGCGCTTGAGCGACAGACACTGTGGCCGTGTAGGAGTGGTCAATCACCCACTGAAGCAAGCTAAGGATTTCATCGCGTGCAGCATCAGCCCCCTTGCTGGGACCCTTGACGATAACCTCATCCAGCGCCTGCTGAGGGCGGTTGGGGCGAGAGCCACCTGCGTCGCTAGAAGTCTCGGCGACGGACTGGTCATCGCTGGTAGTAGCAGCCACGGCAGCACGTGGGAACTGCACGCGGACAGAGTAGCGCTCCTGCAGTTTGTTGACCTGATTTCCCTTCTGGCCAATCAGTTCCCGATGATACTGGGCAGGAACCTTCAGAACATGAGTGGTCTCATCCTCCCATCTCTTGCCCATGTTGATGATTCTAGCCTTGGCGGCATCGGCCTTGGCCTTGGGTCCTTTGACCTCAACCTTACCCCCCTCGACCTTAATGTCGACATCAAACTCGTCACGGAGCTTGTTGATGTTCTCACCGCGCTTGCCAATCAGGAAGTTGGCATACTTCTGGGGGAAGTCGAAAGATGTGGTGTATCCTCTTTCGAGGTCATCCTTCTCCTGCTCCACAACAAACGCCTGGATCTTCGAAGCAAGATCCTCCACCAGACGGGAGGGTCCACGAAGTGCAACCTCGGACTCGTTTCGGTTACGTCCATCTCCGACAATGGCGCGAACAGGGATCTCGTCCTCACTCTTCGCTTCCTGTTGACGGGAGATGAACTTGCGAACCTTGTCCTGGTACTTGCCGGGGACGCTCACAGACGTCGCCACGACATCGTTCTGGTCACCGAGAGTGCTCAGAAGGTACTCCTGAGCTTCCTGGAGGGTCTTTTCGAAGGTAGCAAGTTCAGCGGCAGAAGGTCTCTGACGAGGAATCTCGACCTGAGCAGCAGAAGCGGAAGGACCTTCATACACCAAGACGACGTCGGAGCTATCAAGCTCATCAGGCACAAGAAGGTGAACGCCATAGTCACTTCGCAACTTGGGAATGCTCCGAGAGCGCAGGTAAGGGTGGAAGTAGGGGTCGACCGCGAGGCTACGCAGTCTCGTAGGAGGGTGAGCCTGGACCAAGTTCATGATATCGGATCTTGCGCGAATAGTGTTCTTGCCATCTCTCGAGTAGACCTCCCAGGTCACAGGGCCGTCCGAGCTGGGCGGCAGGGCGATCCGTGCGTCATACATTCTCTCCAGCTCCTTGATGATTTGACGCTGTCTAAGGTACTGGGTCAGGGCACGAGCATGGGCGTGGGGACCCATGGGAGCACCGGGGTGCTGACGAGAGAGGTCAATGCTTGCCATCTGCATGCTGGTGGCAAGATCCATGGCCCGGTTGATACCATTCTCGATGCAGTCAAGCGGACCAGTGATAGTGAGGAATTCGCTCTCGTCGGATGCAGGAGGCAGGACAATGGCACAGCCAGTGTCAGCAAGGAATTCGTGCAGAGCATCGGCATTGTCGCCAAGGATGAACTGATGCTGGCCACGGTTGATGGCGAGCTGGCGAAGCGTGAGCTGGCGTTGCAGGTCGGCGGCAAGTCTCTCAATTTCTGCGCGAGCTTCTTGAGCGGCCGCACGCTCACCAGAGATGTGGATGTGCTTCTCGGGAACCGGCACGAACTGGACGTGACCCGGATCAGCCTCCTGAGGCGGAGGCTGACTCTGCCAGGTGTCGTATCGGGGGATATGCACTTGCGCCCTGGTACGCTCCTCGATTTCCTTGAGGTTGGCATTGTGAGCACCGGCGATGAAGGGGAAGAACTCCGGTGGGACGGATTTGAGGCGCAGGCTCATGTTGGAGGCGCGCTCCTTGACGATCGCTTCAATCTCCCGACGAGCCATCTCGGCCGCAACAGCATCACCCTCAATCAGAACATCGATAGTGTCACTGTCGTCATCGTCCGCTCCAGGAGCAGATTCATCGGCGCGAGGTACTTGCACACGAGCGCCTGTCCGCTGCTGGATGTCTTGAACAACGGCACCCTGGCGTCCGATGATGTGAGGCCGAGCGGATGTAGGAATCGGAACGCGAACCGATTGCTATGGAAAGACGTTAGTCGACAATCCACCCCAAACCTCGACAACGGAAATACATGCCTTGGATCCGACCTGCTGAGCGACTTCCTTCAGGGCCTGCCTGACCGCATCCACGGAGCCTTTACCCTCGAAGATGATGGAGCCACCGGGTCCGCCGCGCATGTCGACATTGGCCTTGGATCGCTTAGAGATATCGCGCAGGATATCGCGCAGAGGCTTCTTGAGCTGGCCTCGAGGGAGCATCTGCGAGGGCGCCAGCCGGAGCTGTTCCATGTGCTTTCCGGGCAGACTCATGATCCTGGGAACCTCAGAACCGAAACCACCGGGGGCTATTTCAGGAATAAATCAGCATAACGATGCGATTTTCAAACAATGGAGCGGGTAAAACATACCAGCCTGTGCGCCGCTGGCAGCGCCGTTGGCGACGGCAGCAGCGGCGGAACCGCGGGCACCCCAAGTAGAGGCGGCGGGGACCTTGGGCTTCGGACCACTTCCAAGAGCCGGGAAGAGTTCCTCGGACTGAACATCAAGAGCAGGTGTCTTCTTGGGAGCTGGTTTGGGGGCTGGAGAGGCGGTTGGGGCCGGGGTCTGCGCCGGAGTGGAGGACTCGGCCTCGGTCACCGAGGTAGACGGAGGGGGGTGTTTCAGATCCTCTTCATCGACAACTTCTTCCACAGTAGGCTTGTGCGCCTCATCACGGGCATGCTGCTCTTCCAGCATGGCAGCCCGGGACTTGGCACCGCCGTTCACATTGACACTCGACACTTCGGAAGCCATGGTAGCGGGACGATCGGTGGACTCGGGAAGATCTCGAATGGAGAGGGACGGAGGGGGAGAGACTATTGCTGAGTTCCGGGTGACGTTAGAAGAGACCAATTGATAGTCTGGAAGGTGCCCCGACATACCGACAAGTAATGCGAGTTGATGAGATTATAGCTGGCTGTTAACAGACGTCCAACAGTACCCAATGTTTTGTTGAGCTAGTGATCCAAAAAGAATAAATGGCCTGGGGCCGCAAAAGTGTAGTCAAGAAGGGAAAAGCTCAATTGCTACCAGCAGAGGCTAAATGCGAAGAAAGTATTTATGGTGAAGGTGTGTCCCAAGATTAAGCCGAGAAAATGAGGGGGGGAAAGTGGGAGAGAAGAGAAGAGGAAACAAAAGACTAAAAGTGGAAAGGCGGAGAAGGAGGATGGAACAGGATGAGCGGAGGGGGGGAGAGAGAAGAGGCGAATGGAGAGGAAGAAGGAGGAGGAAGGAGGGGGTCAATGTAATTGACACAATCCAGAGGGGAGACGATAACCACGGAGAGAATCTGGAGATGGGGAAGGGAAAGAGAAAGAGAGAAGAGAGGGAAGAAGAGGAAGAAGAGGACAGACAACAAGCCCGAGTGGTCGGAGAGGAAAGTTGGAAAGGCCGGGGGAGGAAGTCATTCCCTTTCGGGCTGATGGGCGGAGCCGCCGTCTCTCTCTCTTTCTGTCAACCTTATGGACTTTCTGGAAATTCCCACTCCCACCGTCCACTTGCTTTGCTTTTCGTTCCCTTCACGGGTGCCTGTTTGGTGCTTTTCTATGGATTACAACTGCAAGACATCAATCTGACCCGCCATGACTTGACCGATCATTACCCAAAACAACACAAGATTGCCAGCAACGCTTGGTCGCCGTTGCGGAGAGTGCGTCAATTCCGTCACCTACTATGGCCATGCCATCATGAACTCTACCACCAACGAGGCACCCATTTTCCTGATGATCCCGATTCCCCCAATGGGCATGGCTCGATTGGAGGTGATTGGTGTGTTGGGATAGTGCGCCCGGCTTGCAGGTTGAGGCTGAGTGCTGCCTGTCCGATCCACCAGCGGAGACGCCTCCAATGCACGCATGGGTAGTAACCCATGTCCATTGCTCGATTCTCTCACAATAGGTTAGGTTGATTCTCTGCGAATTTGGTAGCTGGTCCCATATGGTGAAAGTCACCGCATGCATGGGAGTCGACGGACCACTGACTTTGCATCATTATGGACGCACTCTATTGAGATGATATTATCATGGACCGCGATGGCTAAACTTGAAGGAGGTAGCTGGCTTATAGTGAGAGACAACATGGGGTTCAAAGTCTCTTTGAATGGGTATAATGCGCCCGTTTGGTTCCGCACCAAAACACCTGTATACGGCGCTTGCTTCTAGAACAACCCAAGAACAACCGCATTGTATGAATATACTCGGTTGACTGGACAAGGGCACCACCATGACGGATCTTACCTGGGGCCTGGCTGAGCACTAACAGAGCCATTCCTGTTGGAGAAAGTGCCGTTTACTCAGTCAGATAGACATCGAAACAGCCTAATCCAAATATCTCAAGGCTTGATCGATACATTCACTTTGGTAGAAGAGCCTAGAGCAGCACAAGGATTGGTCCAGGCTTGTCTTGGCCCTCAAGCAGTGACAGCTGGCGGGTGGCAAAACAAGCACCTAGGAAGTTAGGACGGTTACACATTTCACTTTGTGTCCTCCATAGTATCTTAGTACGTGGTAATTCGCGAGACAGCAAGGATGTTGAAGTTCGAGTAGTATATTGTTGTTGCCTTGGCATATACTGGTGGTCTCCAGCTGTAGGCTTGTCCACCATACGGTGTGGGCTGATACCAATTTTACCCACACAATTCCAGAAAACATAGTATATCACAACCAAGATGGTAATACCATCTACCAACTGCGAGCAATTCCTGATCTCTCGAGTAGGGAGTAAACATATCACAGTAGTAATGGTTGACTGCTGCTCTCACCCGAATCCCCTGACCCACTCACGGCGAAAGAAGCACGCGCGACTAAAAGGCTGGGCCGAAGTGGACCAGAAACCTTAACGGAGATATGCTGTTTCGATGGTACTGTTCGCATGGAGAGAGAAATGCGACACCCTTCCATGCTTCTTTGGCATGAAATATAACCCTGAAACCCAGTGGTAACCCTGTTATCAAACCCGAATAGCATTGGAGCAATATTGTCACTTCGGACTTGGCCGAACTCGCCCAGCAATTATCGTCGAGCACCGCGACTTGTGGGAAAAGGTTTTCAAGTGTTATCTGACCATGTCTCGCCCGGTTGGCACTAAAAAGACACGGACTGGGGCAATCTGTGATAAGAAAACCCTGTTCCACAAATAATAGGCCGACCTGCTGTGAGGGCCAGAGATAAAAAAACGACCAATCTGGCACGACTAGCGAGGCCTGCGATACCCCATTCGTCGCCGACTTCAAGCGCGATGGCAATTTTCGCCTACAAATATATTGCAGCCTCGAACGCCTGTTTTCTGGGGTAGACGTTGAGTAGAAGAGGTGTCTCGTGAGCCCTTATTTTCTCTCCTCCTCCCTTGCTCTTCTGCCGCTTCTTTCTCCCCGCAATTTCTCCCCCTCCCCCTTGCCCCTCCTCCTCTTCAGGATGGATTTCAAAACCGTTGAGGATGGCAATCCCATCGAACCGAAGCAGGCCACGGCTTCGGTGGAGGAACACGCTCTGGTCAAACCTAGTGGTTTCTTTGCCCGCATTCGCTACTATGAAGAGCTGTTGGATCGGAAAATGGGCGTCGAGTCCCACAGTCTCGACCGAGTCTTGCCCGAAGATCGCCAACCGCCCAACACCCTGGCCATGGCCTTCATCTGGGCCTCGGCCACTATGAATCTCAGTTGTTTCAGTACGGGCTTTATGGGGAAGGAGTTTGGCTTAACCCTAGGGCAGACGATCGCCATTATGATATGCGCGACGTTTCTGGGCGCTGCTCTCACGGTTCGCATACCACTTTCTCTACTCTACCACTTTTCCGTTGCGACGCAATGCTGCGCATTTAGCTTCTGGTCTGTCTAAAGGCTTACATATCGGTTCACTAGGGTTGGTGTGCCACAATGGGCCCCGGCACTGGCCTTCGTCAGGTCGCCATCTCTAGATACTCCTTTGGCTTCTACCCCTCATCCATCATCGCAGCGCTGAATGTCGTCGAACAGCTGGGCTGGGCCTCTGTCAGCTGCATCACCGGTGGTCAAGCTCTTCGCGCTGTTTCGGACAACCACATCTCCATGGTCGTGGGTGTTGTCATCGTTGCATGCGTCAGTTTGTGTTTCAGCTTTTTCGGTCTAAAGGCTGTCATGACGATTGAGCAATATATCTGGATGGTTTCCTTCGTCGTTTTCATGATCGTCTATGGTGAATCCGCCCACCACGCCAGTCTTTCAGATCCCGGGACCGTGTCCGGTTTGACCAAGTCTGGAAACGTTCTGAGCTTGATCAGCGTTATCTACGGTTCAAGTGCATCGTGGTGCTCGATCGTGTCTGACTTTTATGTGCACTACCCGGTTAACACCTCCAAAGTCAAGGTCTTCATCTACACCACCCTGGGTATCTCACTCCCCACTTGTATCGGAATGTTGCTCGGTGCGTGCATCGCATCTGCCCTGGATGGGAACCCAGAATGGGCTGCTGCCTATGACCAAGGAACCGGAGAGATTTTGCAGACCATCATCTATCCTCGCAAGTTTGCTAAGTTCCTCTTGGTCTTGTTGGTGCTGTGTGGTAGTAAGTACACCCGCTTATTTCAACTCGTAACCGCTACTAATCTCATACAGTCGGCATGAACTGCATTGCCATCTACGCTGGATCGCTCTCTGCGCAACTATTCGCCAAACCATTCCAGAAGATCCCCCGAATCATCTGGACACTACTCGTGTTTGCCTGCATTCTTGTCATTGGTATCGCAGGCCGGGACCACCTGCTGACTGTCCTGGATAACTTCCTCTCCCTTCTGGGTTACTGGAACACCTCCTTCTTTGTCATTCTGTTCTGCGAACATTACTTCTTCCGCAACGGCAACCTGGCCAACTACGACCTCGACGCCTGGAACACGCCATCGAAACTCCCCGTCGGCTACGCCGGTCTCACGGCGTTCCTGTGCGGTGCGGCCGGCTGGATCGTCGGCATGGACGAAACATATTATGTTGGAGCGCTGGCGCGCAAGATTGGTACCGATGGTGGCGACATTGCCAATGAGCTGGCGTTTGTCTTTACCAGCCTATCGTATATCCCCTTGCGGAAGTTGGAGTTGAAGTATGTTGGACGGTAGATTGGCATCACCCACAGAGTACAAAGTACAAACTATGTATACTATAATCGTATTTATCATGACGATGAACGGCAGGCACGATATATATTCAGTGGAGTTGCTTAACGCACCATAATAAAATCCTATGATCCCTGTTACATTACCAATAAGCACAAGACCATACAGAAGGCAAACTAATTCTCAACCATCAGAACATCTGCAATTCTCTCAACCCTCCACTAGAAACTTCCTTTTCTATGGAATCAATTAAATGAACAACTAAGTACATGCACCTTGTCTTGGGTAAAAGCAAGTATGTAGGAACATCCACAGCAGCAAAGAAGATTAGTACTACTCCCTGCCAGCATGCACACACCTCCACCGATACCCCCCTCTCACCTCGAGTATTACTATATCGTGATGCTATACGAACAACAACAACAACAATTGCAAATCAAATGACAACTTCTTCCCGTAACTACAATATGACTCCAATTTAGACTTCCCGAGAAGCAGTATTATATTTATTTATCCAGCCAATACCAGAAAACTTCAAACCTCCTCACTCTAGACCACTACTTACACACTCAATTATAACAGCCCGTTTAAGTAACACACCCACTTCTTACATCTATCCATCTGCTCTGCTCGTACACCTATCCAAACAGCGACTATTTAGTACTCAACCACCGTTCATGACGCAAGCTCGTACATAATAATTTTTAACTTCAATCCTGAAACAATCCCTCCCCCCCCTCCTTTTGCTGGGCAATTCTCACCCCCACGTGTTTGTTGTAACGTTTTTTCTTCCCTCTCGTTTCTAGGAAAGTTTCAGAGCTTAACCTAACTACGAACTACGAACTACTAACCACTAACTACATTGTAGTGCTAAGCTACTGGATTCAGTAACTTCGCTCCGGCTAGTGAGAAGTAAGTGGGGGGATGGAAGTAGGGTAGGATAGGGTAAGTTTGATCGTCAGTCTGGTTTTTGAGACTGACGATGAAACAACAACAACACAACAAACTGTCTGCCTAACCTCGGTTTCATTCATGGCTATGGTTTATACTTTGATGTTCTTTTTGGGAGATGAGATGGGACGATGATTTTTAGGTACTGGTTAAGATTTAGATATTGGGAGGGGTAGGAGTAGGTTACTTTTCTTCGGGGAGTGTGGATTCCTCCGTAGCTACTCCATAAGCAGTACAGTAACTGGTTATGGGCTTCAGGTTTCAATCGCAGACTGGATCCCGTGACGTCAGAGATGGCCAAAGGATGGATTGTGGATTGTGATTTGGCTTCTAGCTTGCTTGCTTGCTTGCCTGCTTGCCTGCTTGAATCATGTTCAAGTGTCTCCCACGCTAATGAGTTCCTACGAGTCATTGGATGGATCTGATGGTGTCAATGGCTGAGCATGAGGTCTTGAGCAGACTACTTACTACCTAGACACTGTACTGCGTAGGAGACCTGGCTATGCCACTGACTTAAGTGAAACCAGTGAACCTCAATAATGATCTATTCATTGATTGATGAATGGAGCAGTCATACACACCACCACACAATGATCGAAAAATGGCAGAATAGGATAGTAAATAGTATAGTATACTGGTGGCGCAGTAAATAGATGTGATGTGATGAATACCATCTACGACGGGGAATGAATTTCTAAAACATAATCAACTATCATCTGATTCGATCGATTCTCGCACACAAAGGACCACCATGACATCAGACCACTCATACACACTCTCACAAACCTGCAACTTCTAATGAAGACCTTGGGGGACCACTTTTTTCATTTTTGAACGGGCGTTTCATTATTATACCAAGGTAAAAAGGTAAAAAAAGACTCAAGGTTCTAGAACTACTTGGCCTCGAAC